GATCACAGCTTATATATAGAAACATAAAATCACTGAGCTAACAATAGTTCAGCCTTCTGTTTGACATGAAGTGGATTTTGAAAATGCTGCTGAACATTGATGCAGGTAGTGTGCTTGTCCTGTAAATGACTCAAGTATAAAGCAGGAATAAAACTAGGTGGAATGCCAGCTGTGTCTAAACTATGTGACCACTTCATGATTGGGGGAATTACCTCTTTTTGTTTTTTTCTATTTTGAAGCAGATTTAGTGTAAGATACACAAATATATAAGGATTTATAAGGTTGGCCAAGTGTGGAAGAGAGCAAAAGGGCTGTCTGCACCCTGGACCCCGAGACGATCCAGCCCAGTGCCCACAGATGAGTGTGGTGTCCCATGGGAGTCACATTAGAAGGCAAAGACTGTGCTAGACTGAAGGGCTGTGCTGGACGCCAGGGGACGACATCTCAGATGAAGGTGCCTTCCTCTATTTCTCTTCCACAGCATTCTGGTCGCAATCCTCCCTAGTCTTGGTTCCACACCAGGGGCAACATTGGCCCAATTTAGTTGGACATTTTTCACTTAAGATGACAATCAGTTAACTATCACAGATGAATTCTATGGGTGGTCATAAAATCCATTAATACAAGGGGCCAATGAGGTGGCTCAGTAGAATAAGCACTTGCCTGGCAAGCACCTGAGTTCAATCCCCAGTTCTGAAAAAAATAAAAAATCCACTAATATAGATACTTGTATTTTGTCACTCCTAATAAATCATGTCAGTCAAAAAATGATTTAAGGATTCCACTTGTATCTAAAAGAAAAGCCAAGAGACCCTCGTATGCCCATGTTCATAGAGCTTATGTACAGATGCCAAGAAAGAAAGGCAACCTATGAGTCCACCTAAGAAAGTTGGTCTGTAAATATGTAATGGAGTATATCATCCTGCCTTTAAGAAAATCCTGCCCCAGACTACAATATGATGAACCTTAAGGACATTATCTAAAATAAAACAGAACAGTAACCATGAGGAAAATACTGTATGGTACCACATGCATGTAAAGTTTCTAAGCTAATTAATCTCATAGAAACAGTAGAACCGTGCATCTTGAATAGATGCAGAGATTTCATAAGTAACGAGGGTTGTGAAGATTGATTGCATAACAATGTGAATATACTTCACACTGTTAAATTACACATTTAAAATGATTAACATGGTAAGTTTTATGTCTTCTGTATTTTTTCACAATTTTAGTTTAAAAATAAGCAGTCCAAATTCACTGTTTCCTAGCTACGGCACTCTGTGTTAGATCTGTGTTTTTGAGGCTGAACCCATGTTATTTACATAGTAGACACAGTGTCCCTAGGTGGGTTTCTGAACATCCCTTCTCAGATTGGTGACCTATGACAATGCAAATTCATCCTACAGAGAACATCACATGACAAGCAGGTGTAGAGGGTTTGTTTAGAGTTGGTTGTTAAACATTTACTAGAGTACTACACAGATTTAATCTAGGCCCTCCCTCATACTGATCCCTGAGGCTACAGGTGGTAAACTGACTGAAGAAACATTACACACACACACACACACGCACACGCACACACACACGCACACATACAGCAGGCACAGCTGGAGGTAGGAAGTCACGGGTGCCCCCTGGTGGCAAACTTTGGGAACAAGCGAAGCCATAAGTGCCCAGGAAACATGGGAAATGGAAGACAGTGTTAGGTGACAGGGAACATTGTTATGCTTGCACTTATGTTAAGGAGTTGGGAAATAGATAGGGACAGACACAGACTATCTTTATAAATGTCTCTGTGGGAATTAATGCTTTAAAAAAATGTTTTTAAGAAATAGAGACAGTTTGCCCTTGCGAAAGTGCAATCACTCAGCAAGGGTTTACTGACCTGGGGCCAGCAGCTCTTGGGCATCCTTTCTTGGAGCCTGGTCCTCTGAGTACCTGCATCAGCAGAACCCGGATGCTGGTGGAGATGCAGGCGCCGATGTCACTATGCCCTGCAGAATGAATTTCTGTGTAAAAAAACAGCTCGCTAGGTGGACCTTACAAACAAAGTGGGAGAATGAAGTATAAAGAGCTAAAGAGGTTGTCACTGGTGTGACAGCTGCCTCTCCCTAAGTCGCTCCCAAGGTCTGTGCCGAGCAGAGGAGACCACTGTCTGTGACCATGGTCACGTGGTCCAGGTCTAGGAAAGGCACACTGGTGCACACATGAATGAAATGTGAAAGTGACGGAGGATCAGTGAATAACGTTATGAGCCAGGAGCCTTGTTTAGACCACTGTGACTTCACACTTCACATTTAAGCTGCTAACACAGGGGAAGTTAGGTGAGGGCTCTCCTTGCGTTGTTTTAGGTTTTTTCTAACTTTTTTTTTTTGTATGCTGGGGATGGAATGCAGGAATTTACCACTGACCTGTACTCCCAAGCCTTTTACAACTTTTTTTCAAGTATAGAATTATTTTCCCCAGTACTGCAAAGAAAAAAAAATAATAAAATGAAATA